GTGGGGGGGAGGGGGAGCGGGGCAGCCTTGCGGCTCTCGGGAGGCTGCGGGGAAGCCCGTCCGCCTGGCCCAGGCCACAAGAGGTGGAAGGTTCCCCAGTATGGCAGTGGGGCACCTCCACCGCTCCTGGTGGCCCCACGCCGCAGGGGAACTACAGGGCTGGGTGCTGCGTCCCGGGGCTTTCCAAGAGAGCGTGGGAGTGAGCTGGGCTCTCGTGCGGGGTGAGCGTTCCAGGGGGAGAGGGAGGGAGCGCGGGTCTGAGGGCTCTCGAGCAGGGAAGGCACACAGGGCAGCGCCCTTCCACCGGGCTCCTTTCACCTGATGCTGTCTGTGCCCTGGCAGGAGGAGATGGTGTTTTATTACTACAGCAACCATAGCATCCCTGTGGGCCGTTTTCGGGACCGGGTGCAGTGGCAAGGGGACGTTTCCCGCTGGGATGGCTCTATCCAGCTGCAGAATGTGCAGGTGAACGACAGCGGCACATACGTGTGTGAGATCCGGCTGTTACAGTGCAGCAGCATCTTCAAGAACCACACAGTGCTGCACATCAGCCCCGTGGAACGGAGAGGTACGTGCCCTGTGACTTCTCTCTCCCGTCACCCTGTTCGGCCCCACGCAGAGGGGCTGCAGAGGCCCCAGGAGGCTCTCAGACCTGCCACCAAGACTCTTCTGGAGTAGGGCTGGGCTCCCTGTGTGTCCCATCCCCTGCCTTGGTGTCTCCCCAGCAGGACGAGGAGCAGCAGGCGCCCAGAACGCTGCAGCCCCGGGAGACGCTGGGATCTGGCCCATGGCTGCGGGCTGTGGCTGTGTGGCTGTGGTGCTGGCTTTCCTGGCCGGACTCGGCGTGAGGAAGAGGTACCGATGCTAGCTCTGGGTTTATGGGGCTGAGCAAAGCACCTCCCTGCAGCCTTCTGGCACATTCTCCCTGGCCAAGCGCTAGCCTGACTTGCCCCAAGCAGCGCTGGAGCTGGGGGAACCAGAGGGTTCATCTCCCGGGGATCATGCACCAGCGGGGTGCTGACTCCTGCTGCCCTCTAGTGTCACCCTGACCTGGCTGGTTCCCCCCCTTGGCTCCCAAACCTCCTGGGCTCCCGGTGTGCAAGCAGCAGGGCTGGCCTGGCCGAGGCACATGCAAAGGGATCCCAGTGTCCCAGGAGAGGGAGGGCAGGGACAGGCGGAGCAGGCAATGCTTCTTGCCAGGGATGACACTGCCGTTGCCTTCCCTCAAGGTCTGCAGCCAACGCGGCCCTGGAGAGGACTGGAAATGGAGATGGTGGCAGCAAGAACAAAGCAGAGGTGAGAGCTGAGGCTGAGCTGAGCTTGTGCCCACCCTGCCCTGGGCCACCGCCGCAACCCGCAGGAACTGAAGAGAGGGAGAGAGGTGGAGAAGGGGAGGGATGGGGCGCATGGGGCTGCAGTTGTGTGTGGGGGCAGTGGTTGAAATGAGCCCCAGGTCCTGCCGTTTCATTTGGCTTGCAGCTAAGAGGAGGTGCTGATGGAGCCAATGCTCCCGCAGCAGCCGGATGCCTGGGAGCCGAGGGGCTTGGCGGGGGGAGATGGGGTCCTGGACCACAGCCTCCTCCAGAGGCCTCACGCAGGCTGGTTGCTGCCTTGTCACTAGCTAAGGTTGTGTGTCCTTGGGACATGGAGGGATCACTGCCGTAGGGCGTGTGGGGCACAGGGCTGTGGAGGCTGAGGGAGGGGATCCCACACTGGCCAAGCACTAGGTGCTGTTTGCTGGCCAGCCATGGCCGTGGCCCTTGGTCCTAATCCTACGACTGGGGTAAGGCAGCCCTTGTCTATTTGGGGACTGCTCAGTGTCCTGATCTCCCCCTCACAGGAAGCGCTTTACTCCTCAGTCCCTGAAGCTGAGGCACCAAAGGCTGAGCAGGATGCAGGGAGGAAGAGGAGAGCCGAGGACACCTACATCACCATGGTGAGGAGGCGAGCGGCTGCCCCGAGCTGTGGCAGGCACGGGCAGGACGTGCAGCTCTAGGGCTGGTGTGACCCCCTACATCACCGGTGCCCCCAGGGTGATGGCACTCGGGGCCTGACCCCTTGGTCCCCACGCCAGGCAGCAGCATCCCTTGCCCCCTGCCCACTCCAAATGGGTCCCAACACCCGTGACGAGGCTCACGCCCTGTCCCTTGCTCCTTGCAGCACCCCTCCATCTTCCGGGACAACAGCGTCTACGTGGAGCTGGCCAGGAGGGTGATCCCGGCAGAATGGATGGGAGAGGGGAGACAGGGTGATGGACAAAACAAGCACCCCTGCAGCAGACCAGAGACGGCACTTCCCTTGCCTCCAGAGGGGGAGAAATAGCTGTGCTGGGGGATGGAAGCCCCTTAGCCAGCAGCCGTGTGCCAGGCGTCTTTTCCTTTGGGCAGGGCAGCGTTCTGCCGCTGTCGGCCCTCCCGCCGAGGAGCAGCGCTGCTTCACCGTGCGCCCCACGCCAGAGCCGCTGCCGGGGCACGTCCCACCCCGGCTGCCTGCCACGGGAGATGGGGCTCTCTGGCTCTCGCCTCCTGGTCTCCGGAGGGGGGCACGGAGGGCACAGCCTCCACGCTCTAGCTTTGGTCCTGGGCCGCGCAGCTCCGGCTCCCGAGATCTCCAAGGAAGGGAGGGAAGGGAGGAAGGGGGAGATGCAGCTGGAGCCGTGCAGAGGTGCCACTGGTATCTCCTGAAGAGAATAAAAGTGAGGGAGACTTCCCTGTTCCTGGCTTCCTTCTACCCCCCGTGTCATGTCCAACTGTGCCAAAGACCGCCTGGCCGGGGGCCTGGGACCCCTGTCCCCACGCGCAGCCACGCCCGCGCCTGCCCCGCTGGCTCCGGGGAGCAGGAAAGCCAAAAGGGCTGCGAAGGGGGTGTCTGTGCAGCAGGGACCCTGCGCTGTTCTGAGCCCCCCTGCTGCCCTGGCCCTGCAGGGGATGGAGGGCAGCGGGACGGACCCCACGGGCAGCGGGGTCCCCCCACGCGTGTGTTGCTCGCACGCGTCTCCCGTGCGCCAGCCGCTCGCCGTGGCTCAGCACCAACCCTGGCCGGGGCAGGGAGTCCCAGCACCCCTGCCGGGGCCTCCAGGGCGGCGTGTGGGTGCCGCTGGCTCTTCTCCCGCTCTATCTATAGATGTTTGACACCCCCAGGTGCGGAGGGGGAGCGCTGGGGACCCCCTCCCACCCGGCTGGGAGACTGCAGCACCGGCGGCTCCGCGCTGCAGTCCTTGGTTTCACGTTGACACCCTACTCTCTTTTCCTGGAGGAAGCCAAGTTAATGGGATTGCAGGCGGAATCGGCAACCGGAGCTGGTTTTGGGGTGTCGGGGGTTACGTATGACCTCTGCTGCCTTCGTGGGGTCGTGGGACCCGTTGCAGCGGAGCAGAGCCTGCTCTGCCTGCCCAGCATGGTCAGGAAACTGTGCTGTGTGTGAGGTGGGTGCGTTTGCTAAGCAGGTTGCCTGTGTTCACCCTGGCACTTCTCTGATGCTTTCCCTCCCAGCTGCCCCATTTCCCCTCCTGGAGCTGGTTGGGGAGCAGAGCACCTCTGCCTCCCCCCTGCTTCCCCATCGCCCCATCCCTTCCTCCCCAGGGCTCTGGTGTGCAGGCACTGAGATGTGCTCGGGCTCCAGGGCACCCCTCACCCTGCTCCTCACTGATGCTGCTGCAGCAAACCCCACCATCCCGCATCCCACAGCACGAGAACTAGGTGGCTGAGCAGCTGCTGTCACTGGCTTTCTGCTCTCCGTGAGGTTACATGTCATCTTCCTGCACCGGTCTCTGCAGGCTGAACCTAGGCTTGGAGTCCATGGCCCAAAGGCAGATGGTATGAAGGGGATCAAAGACCTTCTCCAGCCCTGTTACTGCTGGGAAGAGCCTCTCCATCCCGAGGGCTGGATGAAGAGAGGGCATTGCGCTGGGACAGCATGCTGCTGGGGAAGGGGAAGGTGCCGGCAGAGTCTGGCACCCTGGGAAGTGAGGGGGCTGCCCTTGCATCAGCGTCGGCGAAGGCAGGCGAACCGGGATGCTCCTACCCACTGCAAGCCCGTGGCCATGCCTCCTTCCAGGCACGCTGGCTGGAGTGCTGTGCAGGCTGCCTCCTTGGGACCCCCCGCCCTTCCCAGGCCAGACCAGTCCCTTGGCTCCCTGCCCGGCTTTGGGAGGGCATTTCTGACCTTCCTGGGCCCTCGAGCGTGGGAACTGCTGCTGCGAACGGCGTGAGCAGGGCTGGGTTGCCGGCCCCCAGCAGGGCAGAGGTGGCACATCTGCACGGCCCCACTGAAATCAGGGGGCTGCAGGGGCTGTGGGAACCCTCAGGGTTGGGCTTGCATTGCGGGGCACTGGCTGAGTCCCTGGGCTCTAAGGGGACGAGGAGCCCTGAGCGCTGCTTGCTCCAACAGCCAGTTTGCACGGCGGGAGGGAATCCCAGGAGAAGGCTGCTCCTCGGCTGCCCTGGGCTCAGCACACTCCAGGGATGCTCTGCGACACAGCCCACGACCGGACCCCGGAGCAGGAGCGCCGGGAGCTTCGCCTTCTGTTCAGGGGAAAATTTTTCTGCCCTCCCACTTCCCCGGCTGAAATCCACCAACCATAGCATTTACTGATTTTTTCGATCCAGCACCGCTCCAACCAGCCATATTGGGCTGTGGAAATAAAGCAGCTCTAATGTTATATGTCACCTGCAAATAACCCGGCCGTTCGAAAAAAGCAAACCACCACCACCAAAATCCACACCAACACCAGGTCCTCTCCATACATAAAAGTCCTTCAAAATGAGCCCGGAAGCTTGGCTCCCGCAGCCCACCTTGTTCCTCACTGGCCTCAGCTTGCTCCTCTCGCTGGGTAAGTGCCGACCTGAGCCCTTGCATGCCCACGGCTGCCAGGGGAGAGCACCCAGGCTGGGGAGAAGCACCCTCTCTGGCCAGGAGCCCTCTCCCCACATCCCAGCCCCAAGAAGCCCCTCCTGGCCCCGGGGGAGCAGCGAGCCAGCGCGAGATGCTGTGCCGCAGGGACGGGGATGGAGGTGGTCCCATATGCACCCTTCCGAAATCCGCCAGCCGGGGTGACCTGCTTTTAGGCAGGATGGGGGGTACGTTGCCACTGCATCTTCTTTTAAAAAAGCCGTGCGTCCTGCTTGCTGGAGGTTCCGTCTGAGCAAGGCTGTTTGCATGGCAGGCAGGGGTGCGGGCTGCGGTGGGGAGAGGGGGAGTTCTGGCTTTGCCTCGCTGGGCTGGGCTACGGGGTGGCTTGCGACTGGCCTTTGGTTTGTGGCTGGCTGCTGGGGCAGCGGGCTCCGGGCTGACGGCGCTGCATGGGGTGGTGGGGAACTGTGATCTCTGCGTTTCTGCCCTGCCCCAGAGCCAGCAGCGTGTGTCAGCAGGTTTGGGTCTATATTGATTGGAAAGAGGAACGCATCACCTCTTGGAAGTGCCGTTGGCACTGTCCTAGAGCTCCTGGTGGGCTGCCTTTGCTTTAGGAGAGAGCCTGGGAAATGGAGGCTAAAAAACCTAGCAAGGTCTGCTTTAGAGGCTGCGTGTCATTTTACCTCCTGAGCCCTGGGTGCAGGGTGTAGTGTGACGGAGCGCTTGGGAGCCTGCGCAGCGCCGAAGGACGCAGCCTGGGTAGTTGGTCCCAGGGATTTTAGCAGCTTCTTTCCCCACCTCTGTCGTCCCCCGGTGCTGGGTGCCTGGGCAGTGGCAGAGTTTGGCCCCGCGCACATAGGTGCTCCCAGGGCACGTGCCTATCGCGTGCTGCTGCCTGCGAGGACCCGCCGGCTGCGGCACCGTCCTGCCGTACCGGGTGGCAGGGTAAAGCTCCGGCCAGGGCTGTCCCCTCCCTGCAGAGCCTGGGAAGGCTCCTGGAGGCATCACAGCCCTCTGCAGAGCCCTGGGACACCCCGAGGACGCAGCACAAAGCCACGCCACCCAAGCACAGGCACACGGGGCATAGTGCAAGGGCCACTGGGCGCTCAAGCCAGCCCCTCTTTGCAGGGATCCCTCCAACCAGGCCTGTTGGCTGGGTCTGTGAAGGGGCCTCCTGGGGCGGGCAGGCTGCTGGCTCTTCTCTCCCACCCCTACAAGGTTTTCCTGAAAGTGTCCAAGGGGCTGGGCTGTGATGGGGCCGCAAGGCTGGGTCACCAGCCTGGTAACACCACTTCTTTCCTTGGGTGATGCCACTCATCCCCATGCACCAGCTCTCCCCATCCCTGCCTCCCAGCACCCTGCGCTGGGGCTGGATGGAGGGCGCTCACCATGGCTGCCTGGCTGCCAGCACGAGCAGGGAGCCATCTCCCAGGGCTTGGCCGTACCTGGAGGGCACCCCTCTGCCTCCAGGGAGCTGCCGTCAGGATGCTGCTGGTTCACACCTTGCAGCAAGACCTGTACCTGCAACTTGGAAAAGCCTCTTTTCCCTGGCTGCAGAGCCTGGCCCCTTTCCTGCCCTGCCTGCAGATGGAGCGGATTAGCCAGCAGAGCAGCCTTGACATGCATCCAGCTTGGCCACAGGGCTGGACTCAGGAGCACCTCAGGAAGAAGGTTTGAGAGCAAAGAGCAGCAGCCAAAGGGGAGAGGTGAGGTGATCGGAAAAGCACCTGCTGCCAGCGTCACTGTCCCTGCCCCGCGGGTGCCACAGCCCCCTTTACAGCCTCATCCCTCCCGGCGGTCCCTCCCGGGCTCTGTCCCTGTGCTGCTCTGGGCTTGGCCTCAGAGTTTGCAGCTAGCTGGCTGTACGGGAGCCTGTCTGGGCATGCACACCCTCCCCTTTGCAGGCTGGGGGGAACGTGCTGGACGCCG